ACAGTGGATAATAACAAGAAAATTTGGATGTCAAAGATTCCACTAAAAGTTAAAATCTTTATGTGGTATCTTCGAAGGGGAGTTGTGCTAACCAAAGACAATCTTGCCCGTTGCAATTGGCACGGAAGAAAGAAGTATAGTTTTTCTACTCATGACGAGACAATCAAACACCTCTTCTTCAATGCAAGTTTGCACGTTCTATGTGGTCAGTCATCCAAATAGTGTCTAATTTGTATCCGCCCACAAGTGTTGCCAATATTTTTGGTCATTGGTTGGACGGAATTTCAAATAGGTTCAAAATGCTAATTCGGGTGGGAGCATATGCCTTATTTTGGCATTCTGGCTATGTAGAAATGATTTGATTTTCTAGGGCAAAAACACCTCTCGTTTGTAGGTTATTTTTCGTTGTACGCACTCGCTTCGTACATGGTCTATGCTACACCGAACGGAGTATCAACCGCTATTCAAGACGGTGTGTACGCGGTTGGAGCGGGTGGTCAGGCAGGTCTTCACCCAGTATGGGTGGCAGCACAATCTCTGGATTGGCGCACCAACTCCTTCGACATAGGCATACTGTCGGTACTGCATGATCTTACTATTGCTGATATGTCGTCTTTTTTATCTTCTTTCATTTTTTTTGTTTGGCTCTGTGCATCTTAGTTATGTAGAAGCCGGGCAATGCTCATCATGTTTTGTATCCTCTTGATGCTATATTTTGAGTCAATAAAAATGTTGGGGGGGAGGGGGGTATAACCTGCACAATCTGGACCTTATGGACTTGTCGAACAATCTGTGCTATGGTACTAAAGGTATCACACCTCAGCATGTTTGTACTTGGGTGAAGGATGGTGTCCATCAATAATGTTCTCTTAGTGCCAATGCTCGAAGTTTTGGCCCAAAAAACTGCAAAATGGTATGATCCAATGATGGGTATGAATAAAATCAGCAATGGTGTGTCCTTTGATGCAAGATCCGATGGTGAGTTTGTGCTTCCTACTGCAGCAGAATGTGAAAACGTTCGAACATCGGAACACTCACCTTCAGAGATGGTGTAACAAATGCAACTACAAAAGTGTGGCAACAGATCCATGTTGGAACGGATGGCCAAGTGCTGGTTAGTAAGTAGAAGTCTTCGAAGAAATAGGGGTTAGAAATCATCTTGATGCAGAGGCCAGGGGTCCAACCTCCTTTCCGGAAAAAAAAATCATGGGCAATCTCTGTCAGATTGATGAGCACATTTTATCCGGTTTTTAGGTTTTGATATGTCTTACACCATGAGGGAGGCGAACTTAGCGGCACACTTATGTTCTAAGCATCATGTAATAATTGTAGTTTGAGGGTGTGATAACACCTCCAGCCTTCCTTTTAGGGTGTACTAGATAATACCCTACAAGTTGCTGCGGGATGTTATTGTGTGACAGATCTCAAAAGAGAGGGAGGCAAAGTAAGGATGAAGAGAGTTAGAGAATCCAATTTTGTATGTGAGCTTAGTATTTAATTGGCTGATCGAAAGTATTTTGTCCATGTTTGAGCTAACAACTAGATGTTGGGTGCCCAAATGGAAGCACACATGACAAGGCACGAGCCAGATCAGGCTTGTGCCGTTGCGGTGGTATGTGCGGTATGCACATTTAGCAACATCAAAAACTAGATGTTGGCGATACGCAAGAGACTCAAGGATGGCGCGACCCGTGTGTGCCCAAGCAAGTTTCCTACAAAAAAAAATCGTTATGAACGCTTTTGGACGTCGATGTGGAATAATTCTTTTTCTCATTAGAAATCCATGCACATTAATTGTTGTGGTACACTTGTACAAAGGACTTGAACGATTGCTCCAACTAGATCCCTTGTGAGCGTGAATCAATGATCATACACATGCACGTCATATGCAAATGCGCACAAAGAGATCTCTTTGTGTTCGTAATCTTTGTCTGAAAAGGTTCTAAAAATTGTCTATAAATAATCCATGGTAAATTTTGCAAGTCCTTCTGCCCTCAAAATTGCTCCACCTACGGACACTAAGTTACGGACCCCAACCTACGGACATACGTGTCCAGCATACATACCTGGCCATCAGTAGGGCCTGACCGGGATTCAAGCCATGTCTAACACAGCCCGACACAGAAAACCCTGGGCCTGGCTCAGGCATCGGGCCGGGAAATCAAGCCCAAGCCCGGCCCATCCATGTAAAAGCACGCCCGGGCCTCGGGCCTTGTGTTGGGCCCCTTCGTTAAATAGCAAATATGGCAGGCCTGGGCCCGGTCCGGCCATCGGGTTCAAAATATAGGCCCAGGCCGGGTCTGGTCAGGCTGGGTATCCCATGACCATATACCAGCGGTGCTAATCTCTCCCCTCTGTGCCGTAAAAATGCAACCAGGGCCTGGTCGAGAACCACGTCTCCGTTCTCCTTCTCCACTCGATTGATCACATGAGCAATGTTAATTAATTATTCTTGATCGGTTAGAATTACATTTCAACAGACAAGAAATCCATAAAGCCACTGCTAAAAAAACAGAGGGGAGATCACATTAAGCCTCGGCCTGAGTTGATCTCTCCATGTAGAGCTCCACGATCTTCTCCTGGGAGAAATCCGTGAAGTACCCCTCGCCGACGGCGAGCCCTTCCTCACCCGCGAGCCGCTCCACCATGCCCTGCACCTCCTCGGCGCCCGCGCTCCCCGGGTCGAGCAGGTTGCACGCGACCTCGGCGCCGCCGTCGCCGTGCGCGAGCCCCATCGCCTGCACGGACCGGAGCCCGCCGCCGCGCTCGCTGACCCGGCGCGCGACCCGCCGCACGGCCTCCACGTCGGCGGTGCGCACCGGCACGTTGTAGTTGTCCACCCACGCCGTCGCCCCGAGCACCAGCACGCCCTTGGACGCCGACGTCGCGTCCGGGCCGGCGTCGGGCGCGACGGGGAGCGCCGTCGCCTCGGCCGTCGCGGGGAGCGGCCCGTGCCACTCGGCGCTGCTCTGGGGCTTGAAGTAGCCGAGCTGCCTCCTGATGGCCGCCAGCGTCCGGCCCTCCCGGTGCGCCGCGCCGTAGAGGTACGTCGGCACTGCGGACCGACGCCGCCGTCGCACGAAACGAATCTGAGCGTCAGCACGCCGCACGGAGCGGCAAGCAGAGGGGGGACAAGAACAAGAAGCAGAGGAGACTGGTTTACCTCGGAGCCCGTCGCCGATGTCGGCGGCCACGGCGGCAGCGAGCGCGGCGACGTCGCGGAGGGGGGACCCGGCGAGGGGGTGGAAGCAGACGTGGTCGACGGCGCCGAGCCGCGGGTGCGCGCCGGCGTGGGCGCCGAGGTCGATGGCCCCGAGCGCGGCCTCGACCATGCCGAACACGGCGCGCCGCAGCGGCGCGGCCGGCGCGACGGGGTCCGGGAGGCGGGAGACGAGCGTGTAGCCGACCCGGTTGTACGCGTCGTCCGCGAAGGTGTTGACGAGGGCGACGGCCGGGTGGTGCCGACGCGCCGCCTGATCGACGGCCCGCAGGGCCGCCGCGCTCCGGCCCTCGGAGACGTAGAGCTTGCAGCACGCCAGCATCGGCCTCAGCATCATCCTCCTCTCCACATCCAGATGCAACCACCAACCAAAAAGGAAACCAAAATTATTCTCGTGCAAGGAGGAGAAGATGCGGCTGTGGACAGAGTTGGGCAGCGAGAGGGGTGAACAAGCGTCCATCGTCCCAGCCACAGAATAGGATCTTCATCCTTTTCATTTGTTCTCAAAATTGCTCAAATGTTCTCAGACGGTGCTTGGATACTTTAGTCATGGGACTAAAACTTGCTAGCCTCACCCATGCTTGGATCCAAATACTAAAGAGACTAAAATCGAGTTATTGAGCATTTATTATCATCCAAACCCTCCAATCCAGAACTCGCATGTGCTAAAAGAGAAGAATTAAATGAGGAGAGAGAGGGCTAATACATATTTTAGTAAGTTTCCTATGACTAAAAATTTTTAGCCTCAAGACTAGTCCTAACCTCTTTTTAGTCAGGGGTGCTTGGAACTTTAGCATCTAAAAGAGACTATTTTTAGTCAGACCAAAAATAGTCCCTTGGATCCAAGCAGGCCCTCACTGAATTACAAGAAAGTGCAGTTAGGAGCATTAATATCCATGAGAATGCGACGGCTAGTCATAGTGGGAGTAACTTAGCTAGTAACATGGCACACTTCAAGAAATTTTTGCTTATGTGGCAAGTATTTAATGTGAGGTGGTAACATAATATATTGCTGTAACATAGCGCTTTCCAAGACAAGATGAGTCTACAAGCTAATAAATGAAGCCATCTATGACACTACTATCATGTTACTTTGCATTATAAAGATAGTAACTTAGACTAGTGTCATGCACATGACACTAGTCTAAGTTTCAAAGATTGCAACAGCATGGCCTGTTCGTTCATCTCAACATTTCTTTTTTTTTTTGGAAACAATGTTGCTCATCTCAACATTGCTCAATTACAATATGAAAAGGCGCAACTACCAATGCAAATTGGCAAAACTTTGAATTACTTGCGACATATCTTATCCTTGTGGCTCATCAACATCCATGAAAATAAATTGATTTTCCCTACAAAAAGAATGATTTTACAGAAGACTAAGCAAGTTCCAAAAGAACAGAACCATAAGGCCGAACACCAGCGTTTGCGTTCTCCCCAGCAAAAACTGTTCAAATCCAAACTCAGTGAGAAAAATTGTTTCCAATGCCAAATCTTCGACCAGCTGACATGAATAGACAGTGGCACCGTGTGTTCAGTATGTCCCTAACACATAACAAGATCAATTATACAATACAATACATGCCAGGTGGCAGGTGTAGCTTTATTATTCCAGCTACAAAAACTCGAAACCAGGATCTAATTGTTGCGATGCGAATCCCATGCAACCTAACTATGTAACTTAAACCTGTGAATTCCAGGCAGCATCCTACTCTATCTTGTGGTGTGTGATGAGCTAAACCGCCCATGAAATGCTGGGCGGCTTGGCTCCTAAGACCGGCTATCCTGATGCGCCAGCTGCCTTTTCCGCGTCCTTATCGTCCTCACCCTTCTCTTCCTTCTCGAACTCCTCGAGAAGCATGCGCTGTTTCTGTGTCAAATTCCTGCAGGAAATATGTGTGAGAACTACCGGTGACAGCACAGCGCATTGCACAGAAGTTTTGCAGGGAACTTACACAGGGATTTTGACATTGAAATGGACGTATTGGTCTCCATAGGAATATGAGTTTCTCGTCTTGATTCCTGCAGAACATTGATGTTTATGATTATATAGGCAAAAGGGAATGCATCAGTTATTCCGTTTTCCTATAATCATTATTACTATCTGAAAATATGATGCCATACATAAATCATTTATGTGGTAGTTAAAGCTGAATGTTCACCTTGATGCCAGTTAAAAATGAATCTTAGCATTTTCTTTCAGATCTTACTCCTGGCAATCTAATATACAGGAAGGCAAATGGAGACAATTTTGCAGGTGCTACAAACTTTGTCTCTTCGTTGCTTATTCATATCTTTATTGCTTCACTTGAAGACTTGAACCCAGATACAGTTTGGCAAAAGCCTACTTCTCAATTGTTCTGAAGAAAAGAGTAGATCTAGCAACTAGTAGTAGTTATACCTAGCAGACCCAAGATGTACTTCAACATAAAAGCACCGACTATAAACTATGTCACCGTATATGCACCTAAGATAAAATGAACCATGAGCAAAAGATAAACAGTCCAGTGCAATTTACCTTTTCCTCTCAGAACAACCTTCTGACCAGGTTGAGTACCAGGCTTAACCTACAACAAGAAGGTACATGAGACCAATGGATAGTTTGCCACTTAATAAACAACTAAAACCTTGCACAATTAAGATAGACCTTTTTGGGCATACCTTTAGAACAACATCTCCAGCGAGAGTTGGCACTTGAACAGTACCTCCCAGAATTGCCTATAAAATGACATGAATTAATGTCTCATGGGAACAATTATACAACCTCACATTTCAAGTGCCACTGCAATGTCACAACTCACAAGTGACTCGGCACAGAACTACTCTTAACATGAGCTGTTGTGATTAATGCGAGGAAGGATTGGTACTTGCTCATTCAAAGGTCATGGGGAAGCTAATAGCATTAGTATCCTATAAAATCAAATTCAGCCAACACGATCAGGATTCGTATTCCTATCAATCAGTGGCTTAGAACAGAGTTTTCATGCTAGCGCACAGAGGTACAATTTCGAAGAAGGGGGATCAATTTTACCACTTTCCTTAACTGTCCCATGACAAATAAAAATGGTATACCACAGAGACTGGAACATGCAACAATTACCTGAGTCACATTTAAGACAGCATCTACATGGATATCACCTTTCTCTCTCCGGAATACTGGATCCTCACGAACCTGGAACGAGAATAGCATTATAAAGGTCAAGTGCCCATCTTCAGCCATCAGCTAACAACAGAAATACCAAACGAGAAGACGACTGACCTTAATGGCTACATAAAGGTCACCAGCACGAAGACCGTCTGGATCTGCTTGACCTGATCTAAGCACTTTCATGACATCCTCATCATCCGTACCTGCACATGCAGAATCATGTCCAAAGACATATAGTAAACACAGAAGAACATCACATGGGTACAGCGATGTCAAAAACTTGGTAGCTTACCAGGCGCTATATCAATAGAGACTGTTTTTATTCCTGGCACAACCTTCTTCCCCCTGCACGACTTGCAGAAATCCTAACAACACAGGCATGGTAATCTTCAGCTCACATCAAGTAATTAGAAATACTCATTATGCATAATGTACATTGCAGACAAATATGGCAAGACAAAGGGCTTCATAATCATCAGTCTTCACATTAACCAGTAATGTATGATAGGAAGCAACATTCACATTAAACAGTAATGTATGATAGGAAGATGCAAATGCACAGTCCCACACGACATTTATTCTAGTCACCTGGTTGGTAATAAATCAGTACACACTAAAAAGTACAACGATATTTGTTCACTATGATGTTGATGTAGATATTTGTAGGTACCAAAAAGTAAGAAGATATTTTCTCATTCCATTTATTCTGGTCATCTGGTTGGAAATAAATCAATACATATTAATAAGTATGCAGATATTTGTTCAAAATAAGAAGCTTCTCCAGCCTAGAACCTTAACGAATGGTCAACTTTCCCAATGATTCATTAGAGGCTTGGTACAGCAAATGTGCTACATCGGAAAGCTGTTTTTACTTTATTGCAACTGATAGTTGCTATTACAAAGTGATATCTCACCTTTACAGTCTTGCCAGATCCACCACACTGCGTGCATGTTGATTGCATTCTGAAGGGACCAGTTTGCAGAACCATCTGCCAGCATTAGATGAAAAACAAAAACAAATAAGACACTTATTATATTGATCAAAGGCATCTTGATAACTAAATAGAATGTGCTGGAGGAAGAACTAACATATCCAGAACCCCTGCAAGCTAGACAAGTTTCGGGTTTGGTTCCCGCAGGTACACCAGCTCCATCTAGAAGAAGCATGATGTTATCAGAAAAGGGAAAATATGATTCAAAGACAACATTTAGTTACCAAAAAAATGCGGTTGGTAAATAGTAAAATACACGTGCATATACATACTGCAGGTTTCGCATGTTACTAAAGTCTGGAAGTTGATTGTCTTTTTGCATCCTTCAACTGCTTCCATAAATGACAACTCAAGCTTAACCTGCAAAAGGATTACATGTAATTGCAATTCAAAGAGCAGAGCTATGACGGTCAAAGAAAATTAAATCTAGAAATAACCTTAATGTCCTGTCCACCAGATTCTCTATCTTTGAAGATGTTCCGGAGGAACTTCACAGCAAACAAAGACAGCAGAGATCAGATTAGATATGCTAGATTCATGAGATTTGAATACATAAAGCAACAGAAAATTCATCTGTTCAATGCCAAGTAAAACAAAAATGTAGAAACGGATTGAGAAATATTCCTATATGCTTAGCAAGCTAACTCGATGAGAGAGAGAAAGAGAGAGAGAGAGAGAGAGAGACCATCTATGGCATAAGAGGGTATGGCTGGTGCTTTAGGAGAGCATCACAAAAGAACCAGCCATATAAGGGGCTATCTAGTGTGTAATGATTGACACACAAATGCAGATGCTTAGCTCAAATTAGCTCCGGAAACTGAAAATTGCGAAGATGAAAAGATTTGCCAGACGATACAACTATTTCTGCTGAGTCAGAAACATACATAATAATGCTAAAAACGTGAGATTTGAAAAGAAGCAGAACCACCAAACTGGGACCTAAAATAAAAACAGTAGACAAGATTGATAACTCAGAAGATGACATACATCATTCATTCCGCCAGTACGACCAGCGTTGAAAATATCCTCAAAAGGATTTCCAAAACCGCCTTCGAATCCGCCAGCTCCGCCACCTCCAGCAGCAGCCCTCTCATATTGATCAGGGCCAACCTGTAAAATCAGGCAAAGTTATCAATGTAGATTCCATGTTAGCATGAGATTCTAGCCAAGCTTTCTAGAGTAAAAGGTTGGTGTTTTAATTGTTTGATGACTGTTGCAAATAGTGTAGGAAAACAAAAATTAGACAATTAGTCAAGCAGTATTTCTGTCTATTTATCCTAATTTTCAAGGAATTAATTATTTGTACCTCATGAACATACAAAAAAAAAGCCATTGGCAGTCAAAGGAACGTAGACGTGTATAATATGAGGAATTAAATTGTACCTGATCATAGACCGCTTTTTTTTCTTCATCCTTCAAAGTCTACAGAGAAGAAGCGGAAATGTAAGTATCAATACTATTCAAAGCTGTATACCTTGAAATTGAGCATCCACGCTGAACAAAAGTCAAGTACCTCATAAGCTTTCTGAACCTCTTGAAACTTTTTTTCTGCATCGGCATCGCCTTTATTTGTATCTGGATGGAGCTTCTTCGCAAGCTTTTAGGAGAAATGAAGAGTAGAAAATATAAGATGGTGAGGTAAATAACAAATTGCATGCCATTGAAAGTATGAACTATCTTACACTGTGGCCTATAAAGAAAAGATAACTCTATTGCTACAGGAATGATATAATAACTTGCAATTATTTTGTAGTTAAGCACCAAGGAGACTCCAGCCCCTCCACAAATATCAAACATCCTACGGCCATTTACATTTGCAAACCTAAACGCTTAAAGAGTCTATGTAATTATTATTTTCAGATGCATTTTTGGAAGAGTTTTTTAAGGTTGTTCAACAGAGGCCTCAATCAGTTTTGACAACACAGAACTCAGAGACAATAATACCACTGATAACAGGTGAATGGTGATCTGATTTCTGCGCATAAAACTCATGATGAACTAATAACGGGTGAACGATGACTTGATTTCTAAGCGCGAGCTTACGTGACCGCATTTTGCGCATAATGTGTGTATTTGGCCTGGAGCATCTACCAACTAAAATTACTATCCACAAGCAGCCTTCAAGTTCAGTCTTAGACAACACTAAGATTACAGTACAAACTCCACACCCAATTGTACTGAGCCATACCGCGTAATACGCCTTCTTGATCTCGCCCTGGCCGGCGTCCTTCCTCACGCCGAGCACGTCGTAGTAGTCCCTCACCGCCACGGGCCTGGTCCCTGCACACAGCCACAGGCTTCAGAGAAAGCTCGCCAAACCGAGAACAAACGAGAGCCACCCCACCACTTCCCCCACATCGCCCTCACCGTGGAAGAACCTGCTCGGCGAGGAGAAGGGCGGCCTCCAGGCGGGCGCCGCGCGGCCCGCGTCGCCCCATCTAGCTGCGCGCAGGCAACAAGGGTCAGTTAGTCACGGGGAGGCCGAAGCGGCCGACGGGGCTCCGGGAAATCGGGAGCGGCTGACTCACCTCTGTGCGCGCGGGAGGCGTGGAGGGAGGAGGAGCGGGCGGCGGAGGAGGATGCGGCGGCGGCGGTGGAGAGGGAGCGGCGGGCGAGGAGGAGCGCGAGACGGGCGCCGCCGGGGAGCCGCATGGTCGTGGGGGGCCGCGAGGTCGGTGGCCGTCGGCGTCGCCGCCTCCTCGGGGTTAAGGCGGAGGGGAGGGGGGAGGGCGCAAGGTAGGGGAACGTTCTGGAATGCGCTGCTCGCTTCGCTGGCCCGCATTCTTCTACCTCGCGGCCCGTTGGGCCTGCCGTGTTCTGCAAGCACGTGTAGGGGCTGGCTGGCTGGCCCCCGTGCCGAGGCGTTTGGGCCCGGAATGGTGGACGCTTCAGACTCTCTCCTTCTCGCCGACGGAGAGGCCCTCTTCGGAATTCCCTATTCGACGCATAATGCGTCAAACTGTCGACCAAACGCACACACTGCGCTAGCGAGCGAGAAATTGCGCCGGCCAATCTGTAGTACAAACGAGGTTTCGGTTTTAGGAATCTTCTAGAGGTTGCCCAGCAGTTTTTATCGGTTTTGGGGACCTTCGTCTATTTTCTTTTTTGTGTCTGTTTCTTTTTGCTTTTTCTGTTCCTGTTTCTTTTTCCTTTTCGTTTTAGTTTTTCCTTTTCTTTTCCTTTTTTTTTGTTTTTATTTTTCCTGTTTCTTTTGTTTTAAATTTTCAAATATTTTGTTCCAATTTTCAAAAACTGTTCGAGCGTTCAAAATTATGTACACAATTTTAAAAAGTTGTTCATGGTTCAAAAAATGTTCCGGAATTTCAAAATATGTTCACAATTTTTGAAAGTCTTCACATTTCAAAAATAGTTCATGTTTTCAAAATTTAGTTCATGGTTTCAAAAAATGTTTGTGTTTGAAAAAAATTCGGAGATTTCGAAATTTTGAAATAATTTTTGGAATTTCAAGAAATGATCTTGTATTCAAAATATGTTCAGAATTTGAAAAAATTTATTGTGTTTCACAAATTGTTTGAAGTTTCACAAATTGTTTGCGTTTTACAAAAAATATTTGTGTTTTACAAAAATGTTCGGAGCTATAGAAAAATGCCTTCATTTTCAATATTTTTGTTCATGCATACTAAAAAAAGCATTTACAAAATTGTTTGGGTTATTCAAATTGTTCTCTGTTTCAAAATTTAGTTCTGAATTTTCAAGATTGTTCCTGTTTTTTTTTTAAAATCACCAATTAAAAAATATGACGTTTTCAAAAATTGCTCTGGTTCCAAAATGTCTTGACAGATTCAAAAAATATTCAGGGAATTTCGATAAATGTTCACATTTATTAACTTTTGTTCGCCAAGTAAATAAATGGGAATTTCAAAAAAAATCCCACTTTCCAAAATGGTCATGTTTTTCAAAATTTGACCCCAAATTCTGAAAAAGTTCTGGGGAATTCAAAAAATGTCCACATCTTGAAAATCTTGTTCATAATTTTGAAAAATGTTTGCTCTTTCAGTTTTTTGTTCCTGTTTTCCAGAAAATCTTTTGCATTTTCAAGAAATTCTTCTTGATTTCGGAAAAAATGTCGTTTTCACGTTGTTCCTTTTTTTGAAAAAAAGTTTTGAGATTCCCAAAATTCTTTCAAGTTTAATTCTTTTGCTATGAAAAATGGAAATGTTTGTGTTTCAAAATATATTATGTTTTTTCAAAAATAAAATCACGTTCAAAATTTTAAAAATAATTTTAAATCTGTTGCGGCGTATAAGGCGGACTGCCATTTTTATGTACAAAATCCCAGGAATTATGGTGCCTATTAGCGTTGCTCACTTGCTATATGTTGTGTACGATTCCTACCGTTGTTCTATGTTTCTTTTAAGTATGGCGCTTGAATTCTAACATGAGAAGTTGACTGTCGTAGTGGCCAGCACGGCGCACCATCGACCACCAAGTCGCAAGGTCGATTCACGGCTCAAGTGCGCTCTATGCTTTTGCGCTTCTTCCATCTCGCGATGGTGCCACTGGAAATAGACCGGCCCAGGTTAGTTGCGCCCTGTGCGAAACGTATAGGAGGTCCCGCCCTCTTCTGCTATTTTATTTAGACTAAAAAAATCGCTATTTTAAGTTCATCGAGTACCCCTCAAAAAACAAATTTCGTCCAGTGGATCCCAACTAGTTTGCGGCGTCCTGTGCGAAACGTCGGCACTTTGCCGCAGCGAGCGGCGTATAGGAGGTCCCGCCCTCTTCTGCTCTTTTATTTATACTCAAAAATATCGCTATTTTAAGTTTGTTGAGTACCCCTCAAAAAACAAAGTTCGTCAAGTGGATCCCAACTAGTTTGTTGCTTGTTCTCCTTCATGATTGCTGTCCTTCACGATTCCTTGCTTGGTTGCTTGAAACGCTTGGAATACTTGCGTGGTGTGGTGCCAACTGCTCAAATTCCAAATTGGACTGCAAAAGTGGGTAATTTATATTTGAACTAAAACCACGAGAATAATTATGGAACAGAGGGAGTGCTGTTTTTTGTCGATCGTGATGTTATTCGTTTCAAAGATACTTTGTACTAAGGGAAGGGGCAGGAAGAAGGTTTGGCTAGTTACCTAGGAGCCCGTTCCGATGTAGGGGGCCACGACGAGATATTGCGGAGGACCGGGCAAGCGGATGGAAGCAGGACGGCGCCGAGCCACAGGTGCCTGCCAGCGTTCGCGCCGTGAAAGATCACGAGTTGTGCACCCGGTGTGTGGCATTTGTTAGCACTCAAATCTCGCTGCCGCAGCTCCAACTTTGTCATAACAAACTAGATCATGAAAGGCGCGCGTTGCTGCGCCCGTCTAATTTGACAGTATAATATTAGTGATTGATGGAATTGTAGAGGCATTATACTCTAGAGAATTGGTATGCAAATTATGATATAATAATATGTAAATTAATTAGTAACTTCCGTAGGAATATCTTAGTGGATATACAACCACGGAAGTATCTCGGTACCTGGTATTAGGGCACATTTATGTCGAAGTACATTTTTTTATTATTGATCATTAAGGCGATGTGATTGATTGTCACGAATGAAGGTGGTGTTTGTTTTCCCGGAAATCACATGTTGCCAAAGAGAAATTTTAGTACTCTATTAGTCTCTCAGATGTGCTCTACGGTTCCACGCCCTTCTATTTTTCTAGTATAGAATAGAAGAAATTTCTATAAATATATACAATGAAACATATAGCAGATGTATCCTATATAAGATAAATCACCAATGCCCGAGACAATAGCTAGGTGTGTTCTAATATTCTAGGAGTTTTAGCGACAACACAGGCAACTCTACACACTATCACCCTCGAACAACTCTCTAAGCACTGAAAGCATTCCTTAAAAAGGTTGATAGAGTATTTCACTATTTCGTATGATATCAAACTGGAGCTATAAGCATCTGTTATTGCAGTGGTACTAAAGTCCAATACTATGATAGGTCCTTCGTGCAAATATATATGACATACATAGAAGGTAAGCTTTGCATTATCCACATGGTCCAAATATACCAATCAAAATGTTCTATGCAGCACACTCGGAGATATTTATGTGGGGAATTTAATTCGACCACACAATCACATATTTTTGAGGAAAGAGTTACACAAAAGCATGCTTACTAAGAAAAACCTCATCATGTCAAGCATTGACATATACAAACAACTCTGGAAAAGTTGTGGCAACATAAAATAGAATGCAATTTACAACACTTCTCTATTAAAGTACAAGGAGACCGGTTCCTATCTAAGGAAGTCATCACTTGCATATAGGCAGATTAGCGTCACAACATTGGTGTGGGTAATCTTCTAAACAATACATAGTGAGTTATAAAATTTGCATAGAATTTTAAAATTCACTAAATCAAGTAAAAGAAAAACAATACATCAACTCCTGTCAAAGATTGCCTCGGAATACTTCAGCGCCCCCACTGCAAAATGCGTCGTATTTCTCATGACAGCTAAGTTATAAACTCATACTGAAAATGTATATAATTTAGACTACCATGCAGAGACTACTGTCAAACTCAGCCCAGAAACACAACCTTGAGTCTTTTAAGTATGCAGGAAAATTTGTACCAAACACAAAATGCTAAAATAATAGAAAGCCAAAGTTATCAAATACTTGCAGATCTCCATGTATCTTTATTTTTTTAGGAAAGGATCCACTTACTCTATCAAAATAACATAACTTGGATTTTCATCCTTATTGTTGTGTTGCATTTTTGCAGTCAAATTATGTCAGATTGTTCCATCCAAACAGGTGGTTATTGCACAATAAGCTAAATATCATTGTTGAGACTAAAATACCTGGAGGCCAACGAAGAGGCAATTCCCAGAACCAAAAACAAAGTTGAACACACAATGTTTGGCGGATTTCTTGTTATTCTGCTTGCCTTATGCCCTCAACACGCTCCTGGGATTTTGTGCCCAACTTGGAGCAGGAGCCACTGCATTACAAAACCCCATTCATGTGCATCTTTTCAAACCAACCAGAACCAACAGAAGCACGAACAATAAAGGCAAGAGATATATGTCACCTGCATGTAGGCAGATATATGTACTATAGCCGTGACACATAATTATTCCCTGATTCCAGCACATACCTCTGTAGCGGACCAACAAGTACTCAAGTAGTAAGAGCTATAGTATGTCCGCCCAAATTCTCAACGTTCTTGTGGGTGATCTGAAGCCTGCAAGGGGCGGTCTGCACCGCGGTTGCTCTTTGAGGTGCTAGATGGAGTAGACCACTTGTTTGCTTCTTCTACCCCATGCATACAACAATTAAGTTGCAGGCTGAACCAAATTGTTGATATAAGAAAGTTATTCTAATCTGAAGGTACAACAACGTTCTAAGAAAATTATCATGATCAGACAGCAAACTAACCGAACAATAACATTATTGACTTCAGATTGCATTTATACTTGTCCCATGTGATGTTGATGGGGAGAGCTACCTGCACTTTAGTGAATTTAAACCATGTTGAACTTAACATAAGCACACTACTGAACCTAACTATTTGGTGTTTATGCTGGCTAGGTTAATTCTCTAAGAAATGATACAAATGATCTAGATACTTAATTCCTTAGTCATCATCACAATTCAAATGTTCAAGTCAGCAAGTTAGGTGT